CACCTCTGTGGACAGTCAGTCTGTGGTGGTTTGACATCATCATCATTCCTATCAATTTACATGCTACCAATAAACCAATCACTTTCCTACACATAGTCACATTTTAAGTAGTTAAGAATAAAAACTTATCACATACTATTAATATAGTGAAAAAATAATGTGAGATAGTAGCAACAATAAACAACAGTCTCCATGTTGACACTGAAAAAGTTTTAAATTTTGGAGCATTTCGAATTTCAGGTTTTCAGATTAGAAATGCTCAGCCTGTACTTTGTGAAGGATTTTTATGCAAAATGTATGAGGGATATTGGTCTATAAATTTCTTTTCCTGTAATGTGTTCTTTAGGTTTGGGAATCATGGCTATTAAACATATCTTTATAGAACATATTGGGGAGTGTTTCTTCCACCTCTGCATTCTTTAAAGATTGTGTATGATTGTTCTCTTTTAAATATTCTATTAATAAATATAGAAGTTTTCGTATTTTATTTTTCTTCTGTGTCAGTGTCTTTAAAGTTGTTTATGAAGTCGGTCCATTTTATCTATATTGTTGAATTTATTAGTACAAAGTTGTTCACAACATTCTCCTATTATTCTTTTTAGGTCTGTGGTATGTACAGTGCTCTCTTCTCTTGAATTCATGATAGTGTTAATTTTGTTTGGTCTTATTTTTCCTTCAGTGTTCTTGGTAGGAGTTGATCAGTTTTACCAACATTTTCAAAACCAACTTGTGTCTGCGTCATCTCTATTTTTTATTTACTTTTTCATTGGTTTATTCTGTTTTATTTCCTTATTTTTATTCATTTCTTTCTTTTTATTTTTGGACAAATTTGCTTATCCCCCCTTTTTCTTAAACTGGAAATATGGCAGAATTAACTTTAAACCTTTCCCTTTTTCTAAGCATTTAAAATTATACATTTCCCTCTAAACACTCTTTTAACTGCATTTAACAAATTTGATGTGTTGCATTTTTATTTTTATGCAATTCGAAATCTTTTCTTTCTTCTCTTTTGATTTCTTCTTTCACCCATGGTTTATATAGAACTATGTTTGGGTGTTTTTTTCTTTAATTTCCAATTATTCAGAGCTTTTCTACATATCATAAGTGATCCCTAATTTAAATCTGTTTTGGTCAGAGAAGACCCCTGGGAAATTTAAATTTTATGAAATCCACTGACATTTATTTTATACATCAATTTAAGACTCATGAGGTATTTGAAAAGAATGTGTATTACAATTATGGGTGTAAATAATTATTGTTCCATAAATATTAACAAGGTTGAGGTAGCTGATAATGTTATTCGATCTTCTGTATTCTTAGTGATATATTTTGTCTGGTTGTTGCATTGTTAAGAGAGGGATATTACAATATGCACCATGGTTATGGATCTGTCAGTTTCTCTTTTAGTTTTGTGTTTGCTTCATATATTTTGAAGGTCTGTTATTAGGTACATACTAACCTGTGTCTTTCTAATGAAGGAAGCTTTCTATAATTATGAAATGTTACTTTTCCAACTTTGATAATACTCCTTATCATAAGGTTCGTATTAATATGGTTAAGTAAATTCTAATATTAATATAGTCAAATACTTTGTCTGATATCAATGTAGTCAAATCAATTTCTTATGCTTTTCCATCCTTTTGCTTTCATCCTGTGTTTATTTGCAACTAAGTCTTGATTTATAACTGTTCTAGAAAGTGCTAAGTCAGAAACTGTGAAAGGTTTGACATTGTATCCTACTTACAAGCCAATAATTTAGCTTGCCACAATTTTATTCTTTACTAATGAGATGGCTATTAATTTATGTTGCCTGTTTTGAAATACTAAACAACAAATAATTTTTGTTTCCTTGTTTTTGTAAGCATTTGCTATGCCACTTAAATGCTCAGTATCTTATTTGATAACTCAGATATGGGGCATTACTGAACAACATGAAGTTCTTGAATTAGAGGAAGATTTATGTCACCATTATGTAATAAATTCCCTTGAGCACTTAGGCAGCTCTGGATTTCTCAAACCAACTCTCAGATATACAGTTTTGTCTAGAGTTAGCTCCATGTCAGCCTTATTAAAGCAGAGATCATCAAAGTATTTTCCTAGGAAACAAATCTATAATAAACACTGAAATATCACTAACATAAATTAGTAAAAAGAGGTCAGACAACTAAGTTCACAAACTCATCCTAGGAAAAGTGCTACATGCCTCACTGCTGAATGTCACCAGGGTCACCTTTGAAGTGCTCCCTTCAAAGGTGAAGTCCTGGACTAGGACACCAGCACCTAGTCTACCATTCAAAGCACTTTTTGTAGGACACGTTCACAAACTTAATTGTCAGATTTCTTATGACAACAGCTCTGATGGCCCTTCCAGAAAAAGAGTTTCAAAATTGTCTGGAAGAGTGGACCAGGTGCTGGTGTCAATACCTAGCTTCCCAAGAGGAGTACTTCAAACAGCTGGACATCCAAGAAGGCGTTTTTAGTCACATGTCTTATACTTGGCTGAGATGGCTAGAACAGCTGGAGACGAGCCAGTATCCGTCTCTATGCTCTCTCCTAGAGTGAGCATTCCAGAAGACCAGGTTGGAAGCTGTAGAAGTCCTAACCTTCTAGTCACATAGCGTCAGTTATAATATTCTATTGGTAATAAGGGAGCCACAGGGCAGACTGATTAAAACAGAGAGGACTACATAATCATGGTTCACCAGAGACTATGTTTGGAAACTGGATACCTCATGAGTACATCCATGTTTTATTCCACTTGACACATGATTTTAATCTCAAGTAAAAGCGTATCAATTTAGAAGTTAGAACTTTCTGAGTTGACTCAGCTTCTTGTAAACTAGCTTTCCTCCCAACAGAAAGATACTCTCTCAACGACTTCATTTAGTTGCTTCTGTTTTCTTTATCTTTATTCACAGACTATTTTTAGCACATTCATATTGTGTATGACAATCACTATTATCCTTCTCCACAATGTTTTCATCTTGTCCAACTGAAATTCTGTCCCATTAAATAATTCTCTACTCCCCCAGGCTTGCTAACCACCATTCTACTTTCTGTCTCTCTGAATTCGACTGTGCTACTTACCTCACATAAGAAGAGTTAATACATTGGTTCTTTTGTGACTGGCTTATTTTACTTACCATAATGCCTTCAAGCTTCATTTATGTAGCTTGTGTGACATATATCAGAATTTCTTTTTTTTTTTAAGACTGAAAACTATTTCATAGAATGTATATGTCACATTTTGTTTGTCCGTTCATCTGATAGACAGTCAGTTGCTTCTACCTTTTGGTTATTATAAATAATGCTGCTATAAAAGTGGATATACAAATAACCCGTCTGAGCCCCTGCTTTGCTTTCACTTCTTTTGGGTATAGTCCCAGAAATGGAATTGCTTTCTGATGTGGTCATTCTATGTTTAATTTTTTATGAAGAATCATAAAATTCCAGAGCAGCACCATTTTACATTCCTACCCGTAATGTATACAGGTTCCCATTCCTTCAAATCCTTGCCAACAGTTCTTTTTTTTGTAATAGTCATCCTAGGGGATATGAAGTAGTATTTCACTGTAGTGTTAATTTTCATGTTCCTAAGGATCAGTGACATTGATCCTCTTTTCATGTACTTGTTAGCATTTGTATGTCTTCTTTGGAGAAATGTCTACTCAGATGTCATTCAACCATTTTCAAATCAGGTTCTGTTGTTGAGTTAAGGTTCTTTATATATTTTTATAATCAATCCTTATCAGATATATTATTGCAAATATTTTACCTCATTCCCTATGTGGCCTTATTAGTATATTGGCAGCCACCTTTGACACACAAAAGTTTTTAATTTTGATGAAATATAACCTATCTATTTTTTTCTTTTCTTGTCTGTGCTTTTGGTGTTATATGAAAAGAATATATTGGCAAACTCATGTCATGAAGTTTTTCCCCTAATTTTCTTATGATGGTTTTATAGTTTTAGCTCTTATATTTAGATCTTTGATCCATTTTCAGTTGTTTTTTTATATGTTGTAAGGCAGAAGTCCAACTTTATTCTTTTGTAGTATCTGGTTTTCTTGACATCATTTGCTGAAAAGATTACTCTTTTCTCATTGGAAGGCTTTGGCATCCCTGTGGAAAATAATTTGACCATACATGGGAGGTTTTATTTAACTATTCCATTGGTTAATATATCTGTCTTATGACAGTACCATACTGCTTCACTATAGATTTGAAATCATGAAGAGTGAAACCGCCAACTATATTATTTTTCAAGATTATTTTGGCTATTCAGGATCCCTTGAGAGTTCATATAAATTGTAGAGTGGATTTCTCTATTTCTATCCCCACAAGTTATTGGGATTTGGATAGGGATTGGATAGACTCGCTAGATAGCTTTTGACATCTTAACAATGGTAAATCTTCTAATCCATGAACACAGGATGTCTTTCTATTTATTGCTTTTTAAAATTCTTTCAGCAATGTTTTGTAGTTTTCAGTGTATGAGTCTTTTGCCTCTTTGGTTAAGTTTATTTCTAAGTTTTTTTTAATGATATTGTAAATGGAACTGTTTTCTGTAATATGAAGAACTAATTCATTGGTAAAAGGAGCAGTCTTGAAAATTATGGGGTAGTCAAGAAAACGCTATATATTTCTCTTTTTCTTTCTTTTTTAATTAAACCAAAGTTTAAAACTAGCCATCATGTTAAATTTAGTATAACTTCTTAGAAATGAAATTTTCCATAGCAGGGCTTGGGAAGTAGGAATAGGTATAGAGACAAGTACTGAGCCTTCTTTTATTTGCAAGAGATGAAGATATTTAAAAATATTTAAATTTTTACCCAAGGGTCTGCTTTTTAAAAAATATAAAATTGGTTGTTTCTAAGTAAAATTTTGAAACATGGGAACACTACAATATAATAAATGCATTGTTTTAAAAGTATTTCCTATGTTGAGATTTTGAAAATTTATTGGTTGTTTCTGTTATCTTCTTTATGTTTTTAATATAGAGCTTTTGAAGAAAAACGAAAAGAACAAGAGGAAAAAGAATACCAAATCAGAGAACAAATACTTCAACAAAGAAAACAGAAGTTTGAAGAAGTTACTGAAAAATTCCAGCGTGCCCATATTCCTCTTTCACAGCGGAGGAAATCAGGTACCTTAATTTCTAGAAGAATATAGAACAAAAATTAAAATTTTAGTCACATTGGCTTAAGTAGACAATAAATGGTGAATTAAGATATGAACTGGATACTTACCTGGCAGGAGAGATGCCATGATCACAAAGGTAGTTTTCCCAGGATGAGGCTCATCCGTCGTACTCTTGGTGTGCTGACTAATGTGATTTCCTCTAATTTATGATAATGAGGAACTGTGTTTATACTTTCCCTTGTATCATTATTGAAAATAAAAAAAAATGAGGCTCCACGCCTGTAGCTCAGTGAGCAGGGCACCAGCCACATACACCAAAGGTGGCAGGTTTGAGCCCAGCCTGGGCCTGCTAAACAACAATGACAACTGCAACAAAAAATAGCCAAATGTTGTGGCAGGTCCTATAGTCCCAGCTACTTGTGAGGCTGAGGCAAGAGAATTGCTTAAGCCCAAGAATTGGAGGTTGCTGTGAGCTGTGACGTCACGACACTCTACTGAGGACAATGTAGTGAGACTCTGTCTCAAAAAAAAAAAAAAAAAAAATGAAGTGGAAACTCAAAAAGAACAATATGCCATTTGAATAATAGGATAAAAGATAGCAATTTGATTTAGATTTAATTTGGAGAATATTTTGTTGACTCTTAGTAAATTCTAAAACCTTTTAAGTTTGATTTGACTTCAAACTGGCATACAATGTTTTCTCTTTTTAAAATTGACTTAGTAAGAACCTTAACAAAAAGAAAATTTAACATTTTGGTTCAGGAAATTAGTAATCATATTCATTCCATCATTTTATTCACAGTTTGGTTTAAATTCACATTTAAGAGACTGGCACAGGCCAGGTACAGTGGCTCATGCCTGTAATCCTAGCACTCTAGGAGGGTGAGGAGGGTGAATTGACGGAGCTCATGAGTTCAAGACCATCCTGAGCCAAAGAGAAACCTCCTCTCTAAAAATAGCTGAGTATTGTGGCAGGTGCCTATAATCTTGGCTAATTGGGAGGCTGAAGCAAGAGAATTGCCTGAGCCCAAGAGTTTGTGGTTGCTGTGAGCTATGATGCCAGGGCGACAAAGTGAGACCCTGTCTCAGAAAAAAAGACTGACAGAAGAAAAAGAAAATCTATAAAGTAATATACCAACAATCTAAAGTACTGGAACCAATCATGAATTTAAATATGATTATGGTTGGTTCTTCAATATCACTTCTATATTTTTTATACCTTAAATAGTAAGACAGAATTAATAATATGCTTCATAAAGAAAAAAGATAAGCAGAGCCATTATGGATTCAATAAACATATGCTATACTAAGTTGTACTTAGCCCTGGGTTAAGCTAAGACACAGAGAAATGAAATTGTATTCTGCTATTACAGATCTCCCAATCTATTTTGGAAATAAGAGTAATATGAATGATTAATGTCAACGATGTAGTAACAGTTGCTATAGTGGCAGAATGTGTAACGTACTATGAAAGCACAGAACACTAAACCTAAGTAGGGAACTTAAGGACATCATTCCTGGAACAATGACTTAAGTCGGGTCTTGAAGAATGAAGAGTTTGCCAACCGAAGAGAAAACAAAAGGACATTCCAGACAAAAGGAACAGCTTGTGCAAATAAATTATATATTTCAGTGTATCTGAAGCATGGGATGGAAAAAAAGAAGAAAATGGATATGAAGCTAGAAAAAATAAGTTGTAGCCAGTTCTCAAAGAGCTTTTTTGTATACCATGCTAGAAATTCCATCATTATGCAAAAGTGGTCAGTCCACTTACAGAGTTTTTTTAACTGAAAACCAAGCCATTACAGTGTGAGTAACAGATCTTCCTGTTAATAAGGGCAGCCAGTAAACTACCCAAATAACTGTAGTTTGCACATGATAAGGGTTCACTTTTTTCATGTAATATGAAGCCCTGAGGTACATAGTCCACAGATGGTTTGTTGATTATGTAGTGTCAGTGGGGAAGCAGACTGCTCCCATCTCTCAGCTCAGCCATCTTCACTACACGATCACATGGTAGTCACGGGAGCTCTAGCATTGTATCAGTGTTCAAAGCAGGACTAAGGGAGAAAAGGGAAAGGTAAAAGGGGTACCCCGAGCTTCCTTTAAACTGTTTTCTAGAAGGCCTCTATCAGTTTTATCTAAAATATCTCCATTTGCAAGGGAGTCTGCAAAATATAGTGTTTTTTTTTTTTTAATGTGGGTTTATTGTCACCCTATCACTATAGGGTCTGTTACCAAGGAAGAAAGGGAAAATGGAAATTAGGTGGGAAGCTAGGCGTCTTTACTATAATTAGATTTGTTTGTTAGAAAGATAATTACAGTAACAGCATGGAGTTCAGATTGATATAGAGACTCACTAAAATAGACTAATAGATTAATTTTTTTTTTTTAAGACAATCTCACTCTGTCACTCTGGGTACAGTAGCATTATCTTAGCTCACAGCAAACTCAAACTCTGGGGATCAAGTCATCCTCTTGCATCAACCTCCCAAGTAGCCGGGACCACAGGTATCCACCGCCACACTTGGCTAGTTTTTTCTATTTTTAGTAGAGACAAGGTCAAGTAATGCACCTGCCTTGGCCTCCCAGAGTGCTAGGATTACAGGCAGGAGTCACCACACCTGGCCCATAGAAGAGTATTTAAATAATTGTAGAAAGAGATGTTAAAGGCATGCACTGGCTGAAAAATATTTAGGAGTTATGATTAATAGGACTCCGTTACTAATTTATCAAGAGTGGTAGAAGAAAGGCTGGGAAAACAGTCCTCCAGGACTTAGCAAAGAGTTTCATACGTTTTAAAAACTTCAGTGATTTTTAGATGAATTAATTATTTTGGTAGATGATGGTAATATTAATCAAGGTATCAAAGGAGAAGAATCAGGTTAAAGGTGCAAAAGTTCATTTAAATTTTAAATACATTGATTTCAAGCTACCTGTAGCTCATCTAAATGGAGAAATCAAATCAGCAACTAGAAATATGGGTCAGAAACTCAACAGAAAGCTATGGAATAGAAATGTATATTTAAGAGTTACTGATGAAAAGAGCTATAGTTGATAAATGAAGCCGAATAAACAACAGGGTATAGGGCACAGATTGAGGGTTGGGCCTGAGATACAATCTTAAAGCACACTAGTATTTGCTACAGGTAGAACAAGAACTAAAATGGATTTTTAAAATTGTTTATCAAGAAAGTAGGACAATAAACAAAAGCAAAGAAAATAATGTATAGAAAGGCAAAAGAGAAGGTAGTTTTAAGAGAGAGAATAGGGTCAATTGTGTCAAATGCTTCAGAAAAGTAATCACCCCTCATGAGCACTGTTTGTTCCAGAGATGGTCTGACTACCTAAGGGTCTGTGTACAAAAAGTCAGGAGTTGTAGCAAAAAAAAATGACATCCACATCCATGCAATGGAACATTCATTTAAAACATACTGGGGGCTTGGTGCCTGTGGCTCAAGTGGCTAAGGCGCCAGCCATGTACACCCAAGGTGGCGGGTTTGAATCTAGCCCGGCCCGTCAAACAACAACGACGGCTGCAGACAAAAAATAGCTGGGCTTTGTGGCGGGCGCCTGTGGTCCCAGCTACTTGGGAGGCTGAGGCAGGAGACTCGCTTGACCCCAGGAGTTGGAGGTTGCGGTGAGCTGTGATGCTATGGCACTCTACCCAGGGGGGATAGCTTGAGGCTCCTGTCTCAAAAAAATTTAAAAAATTTAAAAATTTAAAAAAATAAATAAGTAAAACATACTGGGGAAACTCTATGGACTGAAAGAGCTCCTCCAGAAATAGATCTCCCACAAAGCTAATGAAGTTTAAGTTTCAGGACCCCTCACTGCCATGACCCCTACGTCTAATTTCACATTAGTAATTTTGCATTATCTGTTCTTGAGGACTCCCAAAAGTATTTATACTATTCTAAAAAAAAATTCTTTTTACAAAAGTTTTAAAGTAGTATTTTATCATTGACCAATTAAGTTATATATTTAAAAGACCTTTGAAGATAAAATGATTCTGTATTATTCAACCTTTCTTTATTATCCCCTCAGTTTTTCAAAAATCAGTTCCTCCATTAGAAGAAGCCCTCAAACAAATACAGGAATCCAATTTAAAATCAGAAGGAAATCTTCCCTCTTCCCATAGACCAACAAAAAACTGGAGGTAAGTAATTTGTGATTATTATATGTAATTATTAGTATATAATGAGTACATAGTTTTCTGGTTGCTGGGTTTACAGGCCTTTTCATGAGTTACTCCCATCTCTATTTTAGAATTTATCGTTTTATTTTCCCAGATTAAATTGAGGTAGAGAGGAAAGTAAATTGGAATGTCAGAACTCCAATTTGTTGTCTTAAAGTTTTATATGCTAATAAAACCTGGTTCTGTCCTTGATCTCCAGGATACATCATTCAGTGTATAAAGCTAAGATCCAGAATAAAATATATAATATTCTGCCTTCTGTGTAAGAAAAGGGAAAAATAAAAATACATGTTTTTATTTCCTTATTTTTGCATAAAGAAACAGTGCAGGAATACACAAATGACTAGTGAGAGCAAGATTTCCAAATGTGTATCTTTTATTTACATAATAAATGTACTTATATTATATAAATACAGAGATCTTTTTATTCTGAACCATATAATTTTATTAACTATAAAAATGTAAGTTAATATTTTTAAAATTAAAATTCAGTGCTAGAAATGAAGAGCAAGGACAAAGCTATGTCCAACAACTCTTCAGTTTATTACCAAATTAAGAGGATGAACCAGAGGATCACCAGATATGCATAATCTCTGACTCTTTCCCTTGCTTCAAAGATGGGTATGGATTGGGAATTTCAACAGGTCAAAAAAATTTTAGAAAGAAAATATTAGAGTAAAAGTATGAAAAACCTCTTTCTCATCTCCTGCTATTGACTTCCATTGGCCAAACTCAGCCAGAAATCAAAGAACAAGGGATTATTCATGCAGTCTCCTAGAGCCTAGAGTCAAGTGGAAAAGTGTGACAAGCGAATTTGGAAGGACAAAGAGAGGCTATCCACCATAGAAGCCGTGTGCCCACTATATTTCACAACAAAAACACCACTGGCAACTTTGGTCAGAACAATTTCAGTGGCATGGTGGGGGCAGAAAATGGATTGCAATGAATTAAAAGAGAAATGGAGAACAAAAAGACAAAAAGTGGAACTTGATTGTGAAATTAAAGGTGGTAGAACAATAGCCAGGGGCTATGTAGGATAGACATTTATTAGCGTGGGTTGCACATATAAATGAGATATGGTCCTCTGCCCAAGAAGACTCGAGAAGAGTCTAATGGTAGTTAACGTTATTGTGCACATGTAATAAATACTGTGTAATGGGGGCTATTACAGAAATATTAGTAAAGTGATAAAGAGCTCACAGCTGTAATCCTAAACCTCTGGGAGGCTTAGTGGGGAGGATCACTTGAGGTCAGGAGTTCGAGACCAGCCTGAGCTCACTATAAAATGGAAAAATTAACCAGGCATTGTGGTAGGCTCTCTCAGCTACTGGAGAGGCTGAACAGAAGTATCATTGAGCCCAGGAGTTAGAGGTTGCCATGAACTAGGCTGACACCATAGCACTCTGGCCTGGGCAACAGAGTGGGACTTTGTCTCAAAAAAAAAAAGTACAAAATGAAGTTAGAAAGTACTCTTAAAGAATTGTCTGGCTCGGCGCCTATAGCTCAACCGGCTAAGGTGCCAGCCACGTACACCTAAGGTGGTGGGTTCAAATCCCCAGCCCGGACCCACCAAACAACAATGACGGCTGCAACCAAAAAATAGCCGGGCGTTGTGGCGGG